CAAGTAGCTGGGACCACAGGCGCCCGCCACAACGCCCAGCTATTTTTTGGTTGCAGCCGTCATTGTTGTTTGGTGGGTCCGGGCTGGATTCGAACCCACCACCTTAGGTGTACGTGGCTGGCGCCTTAGCCGGTTGAGCTATAGGCGCTGAGCCCCAAGTCCACTTTCAAATAACACTGTAGCACTTCTTGGTAGCCCAAGTGCCTTATACCAGTGTATTCCTTATTCCTTCCTGCCACCCTTGATGTTATTGCTGTAGTGCATTTCACTTAGCCCTAAGCCATAGTCGCTGAATATGTTGTTGCTATTATTATTTTGAACAAACTGTACCTGAGTGTTGTTCACTGTTAACAATTCAGAATAGGAAAAATAAGGGCCAGATGGGGTGCCTTACACCTGTAATCCTAGCACTCTGGGAGGCCAAGGCAGGTGGATTGTTTGAGCTCAGGTGTCTGAGACCCACTTGCGCAAGAGCTAGGCCCCATCTTTACTAAAAATAGAAAAACTCTGGGAGGCTGAGGTCAGTGGATCATCTGAGCTCAGGAGTTTGAGACCAGCCTGAGCCAGAGCAAGATCTCCTCTCTAAAAATAGCCGGGCATTGTGGCAGGTGCCTGTAGTCCCAGCTACTTTGAAGGCTAAGGCAAGAAAATCACTTGAGCCTAAGAGTTGGAGGTTGCTGTTATGTTAGCTGTGATGCCATGGCACTCTACTATTATTTCTTTCATTTAGTTCATTTATCCCTTCTCTAACACTCTTTCTCTATGGGGATCTGAGTTTATAACCTATATAATTTTCTCTCAGAAGAACTTCTTTTAACATCTTGCAAGTAAAAAAAAAAAAAAAATCTTGCAAATCAGGTCTGCTGGCAACAAATTCCCTCAATTTTGACCAGGACAGTCTTTATTTCTTCCTCAGTTTTGAAAGATAATTTCATTGGATACAGAATAAATTCTAGGTTGGATTCTTTTCTTTTTCTTTCAACACTTTAAACATTTCACTCCACTCTCTTCTTGATTGCCAGCTTTCTGAAGAGAAATCTGACGTAGTTCTTTCCCTTGCCTCTCTGTAGTGATGTTTCTTTTCTCTCTGACAACTTTTCACAATTTTCTTTGTCTTTGACTTTCTGCAGTTTGAATCTGATATGTGTGTGTGTAGCTGTTGGGGGTAGTTATTCTGCTTGGTATTCTCTGAGCCTGCTGGATCTATGGGTTTAGTCATTAATTGTGGAAAATTCTCAATCATCATTACTTCATATATTTTTTTCTGTTCCTCTCTCATCCCCTTCTGGTGTTTCTTTTTTTTTTTTTTTTTTGTAGAGACAGAGTCTCACTTTATTGCCCTCAGTAGAGTG